GGTTGGATCTCTGTGTTGTTTCATTTAAACTGTTCTCATCCATAAAAAGCTGAGAAACTATTGTCCTACACCAATGTCACAAAGACAAATTGTCCTACATTTACTTTATTGCACTTGGCTATAATGTGATTCTGATTCTCCTGGTGTGCTACTGGCAGTGAATCTGCCACATCAACATGCAATCTGTCCCCGGGAAGTCAATCCCTTCTTAATGACCAGCCTTTGGCAGCCTGAGCTCTCATTACTTTCATTCACAGCGCTCTAAGAGAGACATCACTTTTTAGATGTCAGTTTAATACAAATGCCCGGTCCAGTTTCTCATTAGGTATTAACATTTCAGATATACTGTCATTAAAAGGTGATTATATTCCATTATAATGGAGGTAACATCCAGGGCTGATCTCTGAGGTTGCAGCTTTAATAGGTATGGTGACCAATCAACTCTTCTGCTCATTGATTTCCTGGTTAGTCTCCACATCCTGAGTGGACATACAATACCCACAATCAATGTTTTTCCATGAGAAGTGGCCTTCTTTCACCACATTTCTCAAAATATGCAAACACGTTTTGCAGTTTATTATCTCTGCCCGTGCGCTCACAAAGGTATTGTACTTGTTCTGTGCAGCTGGCCTCCTCAGCTTCATTTATTTTCAAGGCTGACTGTGATTCCAATGTCGAACACTAGGTGATTTTTAACAAGTGTCAGACCTGATTTAAAAACCGATGCCTTGCAAACCTGAACCTCTCAGATTTTTTGGCAGGTTTTCTGTCACATTTGGTGACTTCAGGAAGATGTGCAATGTGACGAAAAACCCAGCTGAGGTCAGTGTTTCTCCACTGGACGGCTCAGTGCGGACAGAGTGGCCACTGCCTAAAAATACTAGCTGCAAAAATGACTGTATTATTAATTAACACAAGTAGCGGCTACTCCTTTTGCAGGAGTTAGCGTGCTAACTCTAGCCTAGCAGTTCACCAGCTGCTTAAATCGGCTGCTGCCTGATGCACAAACTGCACAATATCCTGCGTGTGTGAGAGAGCTTTGAATGTAACAAAGGGAAGCGGGACAGGGGCCCGGGGTGCGCAGCGTCCCCTTTAAGGCCGTTTTGGAATAATTAATGACGTCGCGCTGTAAACACGACTGACGCTCAGCTGCGTGGCCGAAGCATCCTCCGACCAAGAGCCCAAGACCTCTGTGTTTATTTCACGACGGGACTACTGGGAGGCATTGAAACAGCTGGGGTTCACCTCGTCTCTCATATGCAGTCTCCAAAACCAAGACGACGGTGCTGCATCTGTCCTGCTAAGTGCCATGGCTAGAAAAACGGACATCCCCACCTCTTACTATGGTGAGTCGGGTTGTCTTTGTTGTAGGAGATTTTCTTCTGCCTTTGTACCGTGTAACGTTATGACAGCAGGATATAACAATATCTTCTTCGGCCCGAGTCTTTATTATTAACCCTTTGCTGTGCGTTCAGGGACGGTAGCTAGCTTGCACTATCAGCTGCTAACTATTGTAGGGCTATTTAAAGGTTGGCGTGAAATACGCAGTAACGGTGTGACAACATTTCAAACGGATGTTGGCTCAAATAAGTAGCAGGACGTGTTTTCGAGTTTCGTTGCAGGATATGCTTCGAAAAGAATCCGTGCGTCTGGCTTTGATTAACTGCAGTGCTGTGAGCTTTTGCCTTGCTTTGTTTACCAGGTGTAAAAGTGCCCACGGTAGGAGAATAGTCCCATCTCCACTTTCTGCTCCACTTATTATGTCGCCTTTGTTGTCAACGCCGATGTATTTATGCTCTATAACTGCTGTATACCATCATGACAACAGGACAGCTTTAGGGTTTTAGTGGGAGCTGCAGTTAGCCACCATTATCGATTAATCTGCACACAATTCTGTCGATTAATTGATCAATTTTTAGTTAGAGAGGAAAAAATGCCCGTCGTTTTTTTTCTGATGCTCCAGATGATGTCATCAAATTGCTTTGTTTTGTCCTACACCAATCCAAAGCCAAAAGATGATCATGTTTTATGACAAAAGACCAACTAAGTAGCTAATTAGAGGCAGGGTCGCTATAAAATCATTTTATCATAATACTTAATGATATTTTAGTTGGAACAGTCAGATGATAATTCCTTCTAAAGCTTTTTATAAAGCTGACAGTGCATTCGTGTGACAGTCACCTAATGCATTCGTCATTTGAAGTTAACTAGTCCCCTGCTCACTCTGTGTAATCCTTTTAATCTCGATTAATATTCCCTGCTGTGATTTACAGGGACTTAAGCAAGGTAGGTCACCAGTGTCCACTCCTGAGAACTGTTTGGCCTATTTGACAACATTTGGCGTATAAAATAAAATGTGCAGGAATAATTGAGGTGTAGTGTTTTTTCATTGTTTCCTAATTTAGCATTCCAGATAATGTGTCTTACAGTAAAGGTTAACAGCAAGTTGTCCTTCTTCTGTAACAAAGGATATTTCTTCTCTCCCACTTGCATGTTTTTGCCCCTGCAGGCATATAATGGAATATATAATCCATGTGCAGATCCACTGTCCATTAACCCGCTTGAGTAATCATGTTGTTCATCAAAACAATATAATCCTTTATCAACACCAGATGCTACACAGACAGTAGAGTATTTTTTATGAAACAAAGAGTTCCCTAGCTAATACTATTTTTTCTCTCTATTGAATGATTGACCTTTTTTCCCCTCTCACAGATTTACTCCTTTTTTCAGCTGGTACTATTGGGCTACTGAAAAGCAAAGCTACGGTGTCACTGAAATCCAGACAAAGCTATCTGCCACAGTGATAGGCCAAATCTTTGGCCCTTTTATGGGAGAAATGTGAGAAAGAATCAAAGGTATACCAAAAGATATGTTTCAGTTATTCGGTTCAACCGCTGGGATGATGCAGAACTTAATTTGATAGATGATATGTCATTCTTATCAGTTTTCACACAGCCTTCTGCATTATTATCAAGTACACGTGCATTTTATCATGAATCGTTGATCAAATTGTACACAGTCGCAATGCCCACAAAATAACTCAAAGTAGCACAGGCATTGTCAGGTCTGCTCCTGCCAGCTTCTAATGGGGATAGCTGCTGTGTTTTCTTTTTTCTATTTTTGCCTCCCTATATTCTGCCCCTGTTTGTCCCCCAGACCTCATGACTCCAGCACTCTGCCAGTCAAGACTACAGCCTGTCAGCAGTAGTTGATTCTCAGTGCTCTCCACAGACATACAGCTCACCACTGGGAATGTCAGACTCCAGTCAGGTCCTGTTCACAATTTTAAGCTGGTACTTTGCAGCGCATCATAAACCTGACATGTGTAAAATGCCACGAGTAACAGGCTAACTGAAGCAAACACGTGTATAACTTGTAATGTATACATTATTAATGTACAGAATACGGTTGGCGTTTAGTGTACCTGCACTTATATTCTATTGCATTGATGGATTAGAAGGCAGCAATTAATTAGGGGATATAATTTAGCCTTAATAGCATGGAGTTATTGTGCCTCCCAGTGTTCAGGTCAGCTACTTTATGTTGTTGACTCCCCGGTGCTTTTATTCAAACGGCTAGCTTGGCAAAGGAGCAATGTAAAGGTTTTTGGGTTGTTTAAATTTAATACCAGAATACTGTACATCATGATAGTGTTGAATTACACTGGAAAGTAAAGTTTCACACACTAAAACATCTGTTTTGTGGATCACAGCACATAGTGAGTAACCCTAAAAGTTCAAAAAGACTGATAAGGCTGAAGACCTTCATGATGACTCAATGATGAGCACTTCAGTTTATTTTACTAATGTCACACTGTTACCTACCCTAATATAAAGTTAAGCTGATTAATGATTGTATTTGTAAGAAAAAGAGCAACATAATGCATAGAGCCATAATATCCTTCACATTCAACTGTCCTATATTTGCTTAATAGTCAGATTCAAGTGTTCTCTTGAGGCCAGTTTATTATATAACATTTCTAACTATGTAGCAAGTGTTCACTGTACTGCTGAAATGTTCAGTCAGTCAGAAAAATAGGAGAGTAGCTCATAATCATTCTGTGACAGCTTTGTAAGTAACAGTATAGATATGAGTTCCATTCACCACAGAAAGTGTTGAGTCGGGCACACTGTTAATTAACAAATTTCTCGCATGGGCAGCTTCCCTAAACGCTGCATTTTTATACTGAGTCAATGCAGACTCTTGACAGGAAGCTGAGGGCAACGGTTTATAATCGAAACATTCACAGTATCTTCGTGTGAAATTGCAGTTGGAGAAGGTTGCGCCTGAATGGCCCATTTTGCACCCTAGACTAAGTGCTATTAAAGGCTTTTTAAGTGACACTATTCACTCCAAATACCTGTTTCAAATGAAGACTAATGCTCACCCTGCAGAGGATTTTGTTAGTATTTATGGCATTTCTTCTCATTATTTTTTAACAAGAGCATGTGCTTTTGTGTGCATTTTCTTAAGCAATAGCCATGCCAGTGGCTGAAATTTGAACTATATTATTCACACTTATGATAGGGTGTGTCAGTAAATATTTTCTGAGATTCACTTTTGCATAATACTGGATGGCCGTTCATTTGAGTCTGTGAAAAAGACATTTAGCAGAGAGGTTTTCGTGGGCAAAACAAGCAAAATTGAAATCTCCACTTAGCAGAACAAATATAGTCAGTGTTTATTTAGGACTAAAAGGATAAGTGACACTGAAAGTGACTTATGAAACACAACCCAAAGACGCATCCCAGGCACATAGTCTTGAGTTGTTTTAAGTCTTGGGTGATCAGTGGAAGTAGAGAAGACTTGTGTGCCCGACAGCATGGCTACCTGTACTCAAACAATCCATGCATTTTCTGCCATTGATCCAGATTTGGATCACAGGGCAGCAGTCGCTCAGACCTCCCTATCCCGGGCCATCTCCTCTGGCTCATCGAGGCTTTCCAAGGTCAGCTGAGAGGGATAATCTCTGCAGTGTGGGCCTAGTAGCACGTGGTTAAAATGTCTTACCTAGGAGGTGTCCACAAGGCATCCTAGTCAGTTTACCGAACCACCTCATATGGTTCCTGCAGGAGTGCAGCTGTGGCACGAATACATCTGACAGTAACTAGAGTTAGTACTTCACACTTTTCTGAATGAGCATCAGTGTATTAAAGTGGGAGATGCTGATTCTCATCACAGTTGCTTTAGTCTCAGCTGCAAACCACCTTAATTTATGCTGGCAGTCACTGCCTGATAAGGCAGAAGAATGACATCATCTGCAAAGAGAAATGATCCTGAGGCCGCCAATGCAGAAACCTTTTGCCAATAGGCTCCACCTAGAAATTCTATACATAAAAGTTAAGAACTGATTGTGACCTACACCTGCTTTCGCACCTTGGCTCGTGTGATTAGGTAGAGGATCATTAGGGGGTCCATTGTCCCTCTTGGGGGGGGGCACTCCCACAAGGCTTAAATCTCGGACTCTTCACCATTTGAACCTAGAACTGAAGAAGCTTCTTGGATGAGAGGTGAAACGTCTTCAAGCAACTTAAAGAAGTCCAGATGCTTTTCTTTCCAAGCTCCTTAGACCTCTTGCCCTTCCTGAGTTACCTGATTGTTTCCCAGAATTCCTTCTAGGATGACCGAAAATCTTGCTCCAAGGCCTCACCAAACTACTCCCACATCCCAGTTTTCTCTTCAGCTACTTCTATATGCAAATTCCACTTAGCTTGTCGGTAACCGTCAGCTGCCACAAGCCACCACAGCTCACTTGGACTCCATCTTCAGCTTGATGGCTCCCTTCACCTCTGCTGCCCACCATTTGGTTAAGGGGCCAACCACCTAGTGGCTGCTGCTCCTTACAGCAGTGTCGACAATGGACATGTGGACCATGGACCACTCTCTCTCAATGTCCCCAGCCTCCCTTGGAGAAGAGCTTTTGCAATTAGTATGCCTAAAAACAGAGAAGATGAGCAGAAAGTTATGCATTTGAGACAGTGAAGTCAGCAAATGTTTTTAAATGTTTGCATACAAGTGACTGAAGTTATTAAACTAATATCAATTAATTTGCTTTAATTACCTAATATATTAATGGACTAATTATTACAGTTCCACAAGCCAGGTGCTTGACATTTAACAACAGACTAAATTGACAGACCTGGATTTTATTTCTGCGAAGCATTTCGTCCCTTCGAGCTTCAGCAGTTTGCCAGCCTTTTATTTAAAAAAACATAGTAATAGAAAACAGTGCATATGATGACATTTTTTAATAGCAGTGTTACATCCTTCCTACTGTGCTGCTACTCCTAAAAGCGCAATTGCATCATGCTTCACATAAAACTTGTTAAACTTTAATGTGTAA